GGGAGACTATAAAGTGTGATAGAGTAGGTTGTGGTAGTAATCCTACGTCTCTCCACGATCCTAAAACGGAATGCGTGGAAGGTTTGTCTAGCCTGGATCTAGTAGCGTGGAAGTACTCCACGCTGGCTAAATATCTAGAGCGATGTTTCATCATCAACCTAGTATGACTAGCGCGGTCATTGAGAACCCTGTCTCAAATGACTATTCACGAGAGACTCGGTCATGAGTCGAACTCAAACCCTATCTAGGATCGAGTCGCGAATAAGGCTAAGAGCCGTGTATTGCACTACCGGTAGGGAAATGAAGTTTACTGCTACTGGTAGCTAGCCTTCAGTCGTCGTGGGTCTTTTGGCAAAACTTGTTGCATTCGTAATGCGAGTTTGCTTGCTCATGAGCAGGTACATGTAGTACAGCATCTTTGTTGCTATCGATACTCGCATAAATGGTTATGGACTCACTTCCAAACACTTAGTGTAGAATTGTCGGTTTGGTCTTTCGATCCCGTACCCTTTTGGAATCTTGATTGGTGCTACCACAGCTTTTGCCGCCCAGCACTGCCCAACAGACTCAATCGTACCAAGGATTTTTTTATTTTTTTCTCATGCGAGCTGGTACGGTGAGTTGGGGTGCACAAAGACATCGGAACCAGAGACCATTCCCTTGTACTGTTGATATCCTGCCTTTTTCATTATCTCTCGAACACGATTGCGCTGCTCACAGTCCTCTTTTTTACAAAAGGAGTTTGCCACTTCAATCAACATGACATGAATTTGCACCTTCGTAAAATCAATGGTTTCCAAAACCAACGGTTCGGCTCCTTCCACATCCAAGGAGAAGAAATCAATGGCCTCTCCTCCAGCAAAGATATCTTCCAACACAGGTTGCAGTGGACCACAGGGAACCTTGACCGTTTCCTCTCCCTCGTAGGCTTTGGCCAGACCGGCAACACCAGCATTGGTCCACAAGGTGGCATGGAATTCCAGTGTCTGGTCGGGTTGTTGGCAGGACGGTGCAAAGCTCATGGAATGTGCTTGCGGTCGACTTGCTGGCACCT